ACAGTAGTTTGAGCCAGATGCTGGAAGAGTCATTTTTTTCCTTCCATCCCCCACCTGTTAATTTCTTGCACATTTTTATTGCCTTGCTGTTAGAGTAAGAAACCATCTTTCTATAAGCTCTCGCTTAAGGTTTCTCTAAATAACATTTCATAATCATTATGATCTGTTGTGTTCTCAATATCAGAGAATGGTGCACTATCAAAAGTTTCTATTGCAAAATTAGTTCCTCAGTTGAGGTATTACTATCCATCCTCCAGACAAGACTGCAGCCTTATTTAGGAGTGTTTGTGCAGAAAAAAACCATGCAAGTTCATGTCTGACAAAGCATCACAGAACTGCTTTTTGGCCTTAGTCAACTGAGTGAAAAATCTGATAAAAAACCAACCAATTATAACAAAAGAATTACAATTCTAGAAACTTCAGCAAAATTTTTTTACATGTTTGGTAGGGAGCAATCTTCCCTGCGACAAAGAAACACAACATTGACAGAAGACTGTGACAATTGTAGGAGCTGTTACTGTAATTTAGGAGCCTCTGCCCTCTGAAGAAAATGCTGTGTGATTCTACACAAAAATCAGAGTAAGCCAAAAGCATTTCCTGCTGCCACATCAATTCAGCCATTTCCTGATAGGAATTTTAATCTCTGCTTTGCAGATGCTACCAAACTGAATGGAGGAATGAGCAGACTTTTTCAGGTATCTTGGAGTTACTATAACAAAGATAGCAAAGCGGAAACATGAGTTATGATAGCAACATTCACAAAACCCCACTGAAATGGGAACATCTCCAGTGCCTCCAAGAGTGATCTTTTAATGTCTGCGTTCTCGGTATATGTGGATGTGGATCCAGCATGGATACAGCAACAAAACTTAAGTTTTGACCCTTAATCCGGAGATGTCCATGGCTAAGGGTATACTGAAAGGAGGTCATGCAGTTCATCTCATGAACCTCCTCTGGCAGAGAGAAAGTTTGGATAGGCATAGCTTTGCCAGGGACAACTTATGGCAAAAAAAAAGAAAAGATAATGACCAGTGGCCTTCTAGGAAGGAGATGTCACAAGCAGGAGTGGCTGCTGTGATGGGAAAGCAGCAGTGTATGGGTTACAGGCAATGCTTCCAGAAGACATCCTCTAGGCTGAAGCTATTGCAAGACAAAGAACAGGTGGGAAGACAAGACCACCAGGATTTTGTTCTGGTGGACTTCATTCATCCTGGAACAGCAGTCCCTCAGTGTAGGGTGAACTATGTCTCGCCTCCTCCCAGTAAACAGGGAGGCAGAAACACAGTAAGCATCTCTTCGTCTCCTGAATCCTAAAACCTCCTGCATATACTTCTAATACTTTAAATCTAGGTTTCCACAGCTTTTCTTTAAGAGCATAACAAGATATAATCAAGGACACCTGATTACAAGCACATGTTGAATTAAAATGGTAAATCATAATGAATATTTTGTACATTACTGTAGCTTAAGATTTGTGCAACAAGTCCGTCATTACTCACATTTCCAGAAGAGAGGCACTTCATTTAAAAATCAGAGCCTGCCAGGTGTGACTTCTTTCCTGGTTACAAGAAACAGATCTGATTTTTTGAAAGAGCCATTAAGGTTTCAGTCTTGGTTGAAATGGGTGTGTTATCTGTAATAAGAAATATATTCTAATTGGGTGACTGCAGTGAAGCTGTGTTACCATCATAAATAATAACCAGTCCTCCAAAATAACACATTTTCCAGCGTGTATAAATAATGTGTAGCTGACAAGGAACACTAGAAAAGAAATTTCTCTACTAAGGCTATCAGGACAGCCATAGCATGGCAAAGTGGGTGTTGAGATCTTTACCCTTTATGAATTCAAAATTCTCGTAGACATCTCTTCCTCCAAGTTACTGCCTGCAAATAGAGGCTTAAGACTACTTAGCTGATGGCACAACAAAGTGAGGGTTCAAATTGCACTGCTGCTTATTTAAATATCTATCTTCCTTTTTTTAGCAAGGAAAGTTGTTGATAATTAGCCAGCTTCCAGAAGAAATTCCTAGTAGCTATTCAAATTCAGAAACCATCACGACCCCATTATAAGCGATTGTTTGCCCTGGCCCGGTTCGAGCTGCAAACTTCCCACGGAGGTGAAGAGCTGCAGAGACACAAACTCATTGAATGGCTCATCTCTTGCCGGTTGCTGTCCCTAGGTGGTTACCTCCAACGGGGAGGACTGCTGAAGCCAAGCTGCTTCTGCAGTGATTTCTCACACTGCACCCACCAAGGGTTGTCAAAGGGTGCTTGTGGGGTTTTTAAAGCAATGCCTGGAGCCACGCAGCTGCTAGATATGATGGCCATGGAGAATGCCTTACCTCTCGCCCAAAGGGAGGTAAGGCTGTGTAAGTGATTCATAGGTGTTTATGAGTTGTTTAAAACTAGGGTCTAATCAGATAGCAAAGTTTTTCTGTTAGAGAAGGGTTTGCTGGATTGTTGTAGTGTTCTGGGGTTTTTAAACATAATTTCCATAAAGAATGTAGGAATTAGGTGTTGAAATAGTCCCCATGCCACAGACAGTAGTCAGAGAGTTCACAGTCACCAGAAGAAAAGCTCTGTTGTCCTGTGAAAGAGCTACACCTTTAGGTGATAACCTGCAATTAATTGGAAAGGTGAAGTTCCAAGGAAATATTAAAACCTAAATTAGTGATATCTTAAAGCTGTTGGTATGATCTGGGAAACTCTTTGAGGCACCGTCTTTTAGGTTTTTGTTTTGTTTTGTTTTGTTTCTTTTCTTGTTTTCCCCAAAGAGCCATAGTAATGTGGTACTATGAAGTGTATGAATACTAACTGGTGTAACATAGGACTAAGTGAGAAGCTGTGGATCAGGATGAGAAATTTCTTATATCAATCTCACTACTGTCTGGGCAACTTATTTCCTTGTTTGTTCGTGCCTCTCTTTCAACTTCATGCCTCTTTCAGCTATGTAGACTACAGTATTTTTTTTTTTTCTTTTCTCCAATACAACTTTAAATTTTTATGCCAAAGGAAGATGCACTTGAATATGTGCCTAAAAATAAAATTATCTTAGAGCTTGAAAGCAGGTGTTGGTGTTTCCATACAGCCTTGAAAGACGTCTATTAGTTACCTGTACAAAAGGGGGTTATTCCCAGAAGTGCTGTAGTCTATGAACTTGATGTTCTGCTCTATAGCAGTGAGTAATGGTGCTGCTAGCCTGGAAGTGTCAGGTAAGATTTTTTTTTTTATTATATTTCCCATGTAAAATAAAAGCTAGAGCCTTTTGCAGGCTGACAGAGTAAATCAGAGTAAAAAATATAGGATCAGAATCTAAATCTTCCAAAGGCTAGCCTTATCTTCTAAGCTAATTCTTGTTTATTACCCTGATCTGTTTCATATGTCTATTATCTCAAAGATCTTTCTATAAAAGTACAGAAATACCAGAATCATGGTGGCTTAATAAGTGACCCTCTGAAAAAAATGAAGGTATTTGGATCAAGTAAATTATTTTATGGTGGTCTTGGCTATTTCTTTGTGTTTTCTCCAAACGTTCCAGTAATCACCTTTCATTAGTAGAAATTATTAATCAAAGACTTGATGACTATGTTTTCTTTAGAAAAAAGCCCCCAAACCTTCAGTTTTAAGGTTGAATAATTGCTGCCAGTCATTCACTCAGCCATAGTAGTACTGGAGATTACAGGGGCTATTTTTTTTTTTTGCCATGCGGATTAAGAACAGGCTTTTCCAATGCATTTTTCCACCAGCCAGCATTCTTACCAGCTGTTTTAATAAAATTTCAACTCCATTCAAAAGACTTCCTACAATGTAATTTATGTCAGATTAATATTATTATGTATATGTAATTCTCATCTTCCATAAACGGCCGCTATTTTCACCATAAAATGAGGAGGTTTCCTGTGAAAGCCAATATTTTTTATGAATTGTTGGCACTATTCTCTTACATTGGATTAAGTACAGTCATGCCCGTGTTAATACTGTATTTGTGCTATTAAGGTTTCCCCAGACCCTCATTATTCTGCTACTGTGTGGGCACGTCCAAATTCCATGATGCCAGAGCTTGGCTCAGACAAATCTGGTGAGGTTTCTTAAAAAACAGCATTTCTCTGCCTAGTTCTCCAGCTTGGTCCAATCCAGAAAGTATTCTCAGAGGATGCATGATCCATAATAATCAATGAGAACCTTTAAGAATCTGAATTTTTTCCTCCCAAATTTTTGATGTCTCATCTTGTTGTAGAGGGTCCTTAATGACCCTGGGCTGTGGAGCAACACGTGGCAGTGTGGTAACGATGTGGGGGCAGGCTCTGTATCTTCCTTCACGGCAAAGACGAGTAGTATCTCTCAGCATCTACCTCCGGGAGAAATTTTATGGCCTGAATTCTGGTGTGCAGCTAATTTCCTTCTTCTGGCCCAAAGCTCAGGCACCACCAAACTACTGTGGTAATTGCATCTCCTTGAATTTTTTGCTGAGGTCTGGGGATGACTTAGTTGTGCAGCTCCAATGGCCGTAAAAAATATCAAGATGCTTAGATTGTCAGCTTCATCAAACTGCTAGTGCCTCTAGCCTGCACTGTAGGAGACCCTTAGGCCATTTATTTAAGCTGCCATCTGAAAGGCTAGTAGCCTATGACTGCCTATTTATTTAGACTGACGCAGGTTTTTTTGTGGGGAGGGAGGATTAAGCTCTTATATTTTCTCCAAACTGATCTGTCTAGGTGCCTGGGCAGTGCTTTGGATCTTGCTGTCAGAGATGAATCCATGCTGATAGAGAAGCTCACCATGCTTGAAAATATGAGCCACTGGCTGGAGAGGAGTGGAAAAAGTAAGAAAGAAAATTTCACAGTATGATGCCATAAACTGCATCCCTTAGGATTACCAAATTTTCCTTCGAACAGATTATCTTAGAAAAGTCAGTTAAAGTGGTACCAGAGTTGTGTCCTGCCTTATTAATTTGTTTGAAGAAAGAGACACAAATAGTAAAATAAAAAAAAAAAAGTCAGTTTTATGAAACAACAAGGAGTTTTATTAAGATATTTTATTATGTGTCTCTGTAAGGAATAGACCAACAACCATATAAAAGCTTACAAAGATGGTTAACCTTCAACACTATAAATGTGTTAACGTGACAGAAGTAGTTCACAATTTTGCATCTTTATTGACTTTTACAGAGTGAAGGGAGAAAGTTCTCAACTATGACATGCCAATGACGATCTTTGACAGGAGACATTTACAATTGCTTTAAATCCTTTTTTTTTTTTTTTTTAAAGCAAGTCAATAACCCTGACTTGCAGAGTTAGGAGTGAAAAATACATTAGCACCATCATATTAGTCTTTTACACTTCCCTAATTTTAGTGGTCTTGACCAGCAATGACAGGAAAGTAGAGAAGCACCTTTGATAACAGAATACAATCCAACAATAAAATTATGGTGACTACCGACATTAAGGTATTAAACTCTTAAAATACACTGTACTTTTTCACAGCTAATCAGTACAGAAATAGACAATTTTGTACCAAATGATTCCACTGAATTGACCAATGGGTCCAATGTCTTTTGATTAATTTGTTTGATTGATTTTTGGTATGACTCATCAGACACATCCCAGTTTCTGTCCATGTTGAGGTAGTTGAAACAGGGAGGTCTTTCTAGCTTTATGGACTGCATCTTAGAAAGAAGGGTAAACTTTGGTACTGGGAGCAATCAGTGCTTTGTAAATTGGCTAACATTCAACTAATAGAACACAGTGTTGTTTTATTAAGTGTTGAAGTTGTATTATAGCACCACGGAGACATGTTTTGAAGATGGAATTTGGTAAAAAAAATAGAGCAAAAAAAGCATTTTTACTGTACTTTGTGTAATAGCGAAAAAAATAACCCTTGATATCAAATTGATTTTTCCCCCAGAAATTTTGTTAATAAATAACTGGGATACAGACGGTCACCTGTACTAGATGACAAGGCTAAAACAAAGGAGCACAGTTGGAGTGTGAATCTGTTTGCTGGGGTTTCAGAAAGAGCAGGATCTTTGATTTATAAGAAGCAGACCGGGCCAATGTCCACGCCAAATTCCTGATCAGGACCACCAATATCTATGGGTGCAATATCAATCACAGGCAACCTCATTGTCTTGCGCGTTCTGTATTCAAAGACTGTTTTACCCCATTCACCAGTGTGTTTCTGTGAAGTTAAAAAGAGAAGAAAAAAAAAAAAACAACCACGTTAGAGAAATCAGTGTTGGGCTATATGAAAGTTATCTTACAGTTTATCGGATTCCATACTTTCTCTTTCCATATTAATGTGTCCCTCTCCACACCATGAAAACTGGTTGCAGTCTCTGTAGAAATGAACAAGTAGATAGACATTCTTCATTTCTGGACTTTTTATGCAAGGTCTTGTGGGGTTGTAGACCTTGCAGGATCCCTGATGGACAGTAGAGTACTCTGGAGTGGTGCCAGCGCCCTGACTTAGGACGGAAATGTGCTCTGCGTGCTGGGAGATGGTACAAATGGCTACTCTGTTCGGAAAGTGGTTTTGGCTTCAGGAAAAAGTGACAGCAGTAACGAGGTAGCTCTTCATGTTCATGTTAAAGAAATGGCCACAAAGTGGCTGCAAAGTAGATGTGTTCATGCATCCTTAAACGGCAGGTTTGTGGTGCTCTTGGGACCTTAAACAGCAGGAGGGAGAAGTTGTGGATGGTGTTACTGAAAAGGCTGCAGGTGCTCATAGACCAGCATGCTCGTTGATGTTACTGCTCCTCTCCAGTACTTTCTGCTGCAGTGAGCAAGGCACAGAGAAGCAATGCTGCATCTGCCAAATCACTGTGTTTGCCCCTTCCCATAATCATAGGCCATGACTTGAATCAGCTAGCCTTGATTTTTCTTGTATGACTCAGATGATTCCTGCTACTCTTAGAGTTGACATGGAATGGATCAAAACTTGGTCGCTGTGACTTCACTGACTTTGACTCTAAAGCAAGGAGATACCCGTAAAGCACAGATTTAAATGGGAGTGCACCTCACTTTCCACAGTTGCTACAGGAGTGACTTTTGGTGTACAGAATCTAAATTTCCCCAACTAGGTGTAACGTGTCCCTTCCTTACCTAGGTCATGCGAAGCTCTCTCTTCCTTTATTATGGGTCTAGTTCTCTAGAGGGAATTATTTATTAAACTACCATACTAAAGTCTTGTTTACTTACAGTACAGCCATCTTCCAGAACAGCATATGTGAATTTGCTGTTTCCTTCAGCCTTGATCTCACTTTCCACAGAGCTCATCAGTTTCAGAGCTTTTTTAACATTTCCACTGGCTTGATCCATGTAGGCAATGCTGTTCTTGCAATGGAAGGTGATGTTCTGGGAGGCACGGCTGGAGAGGATGCGGAGGAAGGCCAGCTGAACTTCTGAGACATCCTCTGGAAGCTCAGGATCTCCATAGCTGAACTGCATAGTGCAACACATAAGTTTTTTTTTAATCATGTCTAGGGACAGTCTGTATAGTTATTATTTCACATACTACATGTTTAGCTTAGTTTAATTACAGGATTATTTATTAGTATGTTGCGATGTACGTGAGTATAGTATGTGTACTACCTTTTGGGCTGTTAACTGTCATAATTTCTTACCTGGAAGCCTCCATTCATAGATTCTCCAAACCAAACATGTTTCCTTCCACTGCTTTCACTAGTCCACCAGTTTTTCCTTGGCACAGTGCTGGGGTTAGCATTGAGGCATGTTTCACCAGTTTCCATATTACAGTATACTTTAATAGCATCCATCTTGCAGCCTTGGTTAGGATCAACCCAGTACTCTCCTAGAGGTAAAAAAAACCATGTTAAGGGGCTTCATATATTTGGAGAAGAATCTGACTGCATGATGGTGAAGTTTATTTCTGTGCCAGATTCCTGAGCCAGATTAGGAAGCATATTAATTTTGACAGAAGAGATGCCACAGAAAATAAGATGATATAAAAATATACTGAGTTCATGTGAATACTGTAATATGACTGACATTTGAAGTAAATACAGAACTTATATTTGTCATGTTTTTTTTCCATAAAATTATTTAATCAAATGTTCACTTGTAAGCGTGTAGAGTGGAGTTGAAGTCAGTGTATATACTGTGTAAATGCACAGTAAATTAAAGTTTAAAATTATCATTACATTTATCATCTTTATCACAACATTTGTTTAAAAAAAAACAAATCAAATTTTTTATAGCAGATCAAAGACAATAGCATTAATGGAGGGGAAAAAAAAAAAAAAAAAAAATCAAGATCTGCTTTCATTGGTGAAAATAAAAACCTAACGTACCACTCTTGAGCTCAGGATGGCAGAATTTCAGATCTCTACAGTTACGAGCTGGATTCTTCCGTGACCCATCAGGACTAATGATGTTTTCAATCTGGTTGTTAATTGATTTCATTGAAGATATGATGTCACCCAGATTGATATCATTTTCTTTTGGCTCATCTCGATATTCATACCCATAGCCCACTGGACCTTTTTCACCAGCACCCAGGGCAGCTGCACCACCACAACATGGACCAGGAGGACCAGAAGGACCAGGAAGACCAGGCTGGCCTGGTGGACCCTAATAAATAGTGAACACAGCACTGAGTAGAGATTACAGGTTAAAACTAGAAGTCTGTGTGGGCCCTAATCTTAAAAAATGAGAATTCTCACATAAACATTTAATTTACTTAATCTTTAAATAATGGCATTTGCTATGTATAAATATCTGTTAGACTTTCCAGGCTTTTATTTTCCTAAAATTTTCTTTTCCTAATTTTGTCAAGCTGTGACTGTCCTCTTCTGTCTGGGCTTTGAGAAGGAACCCTTTCCACCAAAATCCAGAGAATAACCATTTCTCGGCTTTAGGAGAAGTGACTATGCCAGTGACCTTTGCAGTGCTGGCCTCTCTAGAGGAGTCTAGGAAACCCACTTCATAGCTTCCAAGACACAAAGGGAGTCTGTGCTCTGAAGTGAGGAGGAGATCCTGCCTTCCTGTTGTACACAGGAAAGTCAATGATTATCTGAGACTAACACAACGCCCACTGCACCAACAGTTACACTGAACTACAAGTGATCTGTATTTTTTTGGATTTAGCCGTGATAGCTAGATACCTCCTACCACAAACTCTGTCCATGAAGTACAGAATTTTCTGAGGGAGATATTTAAATGTGAGAGCACCATATGTTTCATGAATAAATCCTGAAGATTTGTTTGTTTGAGTGTGCACAATTTACTTACTGCAGGGCCACTTTCACCTCTGTTACCGCGAGGGCCAGGAGGACCAATTGGACCCGGATAGCCACTTGTACCATCTTTTCCAGGTGGTCCAGCTGCTCCTGGGGGACCCTAGAACAATGTTGAACACAAATAATATGGTCAAAATAGCTTACCAGATAATCTCAAATTCAGAAATACTTTGTGAGAGATTTCAAACATTTCTGTTTGATTTATCAGATGTCTTTCTTCAGCTGTTGCCTGTTAAGATGGCAATTTAATTTTTTTTTTTTTTTTTTTTTTTTTTTTTTTTTTTTAAAACAAACAGTCTGAATCTTCCTTCCCGTTATACTAAGTAAGGAGTTTTTCTTACCCTTGCACCTGAAGCTCCTGGACTTCCAATTGCTCCTTGTGGACCCAAGGGACCCTATGAATAAAAAATGTCAGTCATACACCTCCCAGTAATATTTTGTATCTAGCTGGATGTACCTTAAATAGAGACATTGAAACACCTTTAAGATTGTATGAAACACATCCTTATAAAAAGCCTATGTCAGATATGAGAAAGAATAGTTGCCATTCTTTAACCAGAAAAAAATTATCAAATGTTCTCTATATGAAAAAAATATTAGTGATGCAATATCATCCAAAATGCAAGAAAGCCAACCAACATCAACGGGCTTTGAATGAAATCTTGTATTCATAAGAATACATAGCTATAGGCTCAAATTGCTGCATATTACCATAAAATCATATTACCAGTAAAGTTATTTAAATAATTTGACAAACACTCATGTTTTCAAATGCATTAAAAAATTTGCTCTATATATGTACACAAAAACCATATGTTTAAAAATGATTAATCATCTTGCTGTCATAGTGTAAATAAGAATTTATCAGACTTTGTTTTACTCATGTTATAAGTGAGACAACAGGTTATATTGTGCTGTTAAATAGGTTAGTATTGGTGGCATTTATACTTAACACTGCCATCTTTTTGCCATCATTGGTAGATTAACTAGGTGAGTTTTGGTTCCTTGATTCTCACTTGTATCATAAGTGCTATTAATAGTTCTTTTCAGTATAAATCCCTCTTAAAACTTTTACTTGTCATAAACACCTAGGGCATGCCTGTCTATTACCCTTCAATTCTTCTAGCCATTAAGAACTATTCAAAATGGTAATGCATGTTTACAATTCAGTAGTTTACAAAGTTTACAATTTCGTGCCCATTTTGCTCTAATATTAATTACTGCAAAAGATGCATGACAGAAGAAAGGTCTTTGGACTGAGTAGCTTTTTCATGGATTTAGATGTCTGTCTAGCATAAATTCGTAACAGACAAATACTTCAACCCCTATTTCTATCTTTTACAATTTAATCAGAAATCGCCTATATAAATGAATGGAAAAAGTGTTTGTTCCAGGCAAAGGCAGACATGTAGCTGAAAGGGATTTTAGCAAACCCAGCTTTAGCTCCTAGCAGCTTCTTCCAGTTCTTCATTAACATTTATTTCAGGTTGATTCAGGGAATCTGGAATTTTGAACGCATTTGACAATCAAATTACACAGGTTCTTTACACTTTTCTTTCCTCAGTAAATTAGTTAAGGCTAACTAGTTACCTGGGACCCAAATCACAAGAACTAAGAACAGCTGTAATTCCCAATCCAATGCAAAATACTCACAGGAGGACCAGGGAGACCAGGGGTACCAGGAAATCCTCTGTGACCCTTTATGCCATTGCTGCCTCTTTCACCAGTTTCACCTTTATCGCCACGAGGACCTTGAGGACCCTTTAAGAGTAGATTTGCAATAAAAGGAATATATAAAGAAATAAGAAAAATGCCCAAATAACAGGAAATAGTGAATGTATGATATCACAGATATACTTTAAATATGACTTACAGCAGGACCTCGAGCACCAGCAGGACCAGCAGAGCCAGGAGGGCCAGGTGGACCCTGTGACACAATAAGAATAAGATGGCATGGATCACTTGGAGTTGACTAGACCACCTTTTTATTTCCAGATAAGCAGTAAGTTCAAAGCCAGCAGCTGTTTGGAAACAAGGGTAAGCTCCACACACACTACATAATCAGGAAAAATTTTGGTCAGTTCCTTTTTCTACCAATGTTAGTCTTACTCAGCTGCTTGTAGGTACTGATACATACCACATGCACTAGACCCCTTCTTCATTTTGTGAGGTGCTAGTGCTCCAGCTGTGCTGGTGTCAGCACTTCTCAGAAATAACTTGAAGACTTCCAAAGTTACTGCCACAGTTTAAATAAATAACATCGCTTGTGCTGCATGAGCACCAGATGGGATGGAAATTAAGATAGGGCCTGGTGGGATGATGTGCTTTTTGGCATCCTAAGGAGTATGTGGATTTTGAGCTCAATTTATATACAGTTATGAGGAACATAAACTGTGATGTCTTTCCGCTGGATATTCTTATAAAAGAGGTCCTCAATGCCAAGAAACTATGACAGTAACAAATGTATGACTCTTCCAAACTTCCACTTTATTACAGCATGAAATGGACTTTGCATAGGAAAGCTATGTAAATAAGCAGTAAGCTATTTACTTTGGTCTTACCTGAAATCCTCTTTCACCAGCTTTTCCAGGTGCACCAACGTTACCTGCAGGTCCAGGGTGACCAGGAGGTCCCGGAGAGCCAGGAGAGCCACTTTCTCCACGGTCACCCTGCAGATAGTCACAGTTGACAGGATAAGAAATCTAATGTTTTACAGAACTACAATGTAAAGAGGATATTCAGTGGAGCATAAGAGATTCAAGGAACAAGTTACATATAGCACAGAACTAGCTATGTATATTGTAATCTCTACATAACATTTATTTGGCGATTGGTGATTCCTTACTTTGCCTCCTGGGGATCCATCACGTCCAGGCAAGCCATCTGAGCCAGGGTTACCCTAGAAAAAAAAAGAGTGGTACAGTTTGTTCATAAGCTGGATGATGAATAGACAGCTTGTTTTCCAGTAAGCTTAAATAATGCTGATCAAGGAAAGAGAAAGTTTTCAATAAGGAAGAGTTCCTGGAGGCAGAGGGGCCTGTTTTAAAAAAAAAAAAAAAAAAAAAAAAAAAAATCTATCCGACCTGCATTATTTTGTAGGCGTACAGGCAGTGCAGTCTCTTGTTCAGTTCCAAGTGAGAATGTGACATGGTCCACAGGTAGTAAAAGGTATAGCAAAGACAGCAGGCTATACCACCTTACATGAGGATGTGATCTGCCCATACCCCTGTGCATCTGGCACTTGAGAGAGGCTTTGTGAACCTTAAAGCATGTTTGTTCCCCAAGTCTCCTGTTTGTAATTCACAAGCTAGCAGGAAGGTCTAACACATCCACTCACATCTCTGCCAGGCTCTCCAGGTAAGCCTCTTTGTCCAATAGGACCTTGTGGACCAGGAGCACCGCGTTCTCCTGGGATACCATTGGTGCCTGGTTTACCGTCTTCACCCTGAACAAAAAGGGGAAGGATTTCATTGCAGATAACATACTTATGAAATACCATCATACTATATATCTTTAATTAAATATGCAGTGATTATGAAGGAGACCTAAAAAAGTGAAGGGCCAGTGTGACTTTGGTGATTGTGAATACTCAAAATTAGGAAGATAAAAACTTGGCCAAACTGATTTCTTTTCATCGCTAGTAATATTCATGCAAGGCCACTGAACCCAAGGAACATTCCTTATTGTTTTGTCAACTAAGAAATAATAAATGGGTATGTCTCTTCTTATGTGTCCAAAAACAATAGCCAAAGCAGTTAACAAAGTTGCTGTTCTATCACAATATTAGTGATAAAATACAAACCAAGCCTCACACCACCTTTTCTGGAGGGAGGTGAAAATATTTTCCTGTTTGGGTCATAATATTTAAGCAAGAAACATACTGAGAGTTAAGCAAAGATAAACAACTTGCAGTAGGTGAAACTATGACTTGGTTCTTGTCTCAAGGGGAGTTTATAGCCCATTGCCCTCCTTAAACGGGTAAAGCTGGTTATATACTTCCAGATAAGCTGATCCAGGACTCTTGGTAATAGAGATTAAAGACAACCTCACATCCCACAGCTGCTTGTTACCGGACATTTTAAAGCCTGATCTTATGGATGTAAACAAAAATAACTGTAGATTTTGTAGTCTCTGCACATATACTAAATATACAACACATTCATTACTTTTTGTAACACAAAGCTATTTTCAGCAGCTGGATTACAGTTGTTGCGTTAGCTTTGAGGCTACCGCTGCAGTGAATGCACTCTCACCTTGGCACCCGCCATACCGGGTGGACCACTTGGGCCACGCAGACCTGGCAAGCCTGTGTTACCCCGGCCACCAACGATGCCTTGAGGACCTGGTTCTCCTGGTGCCCCCTGTTTGGGAAAAGGTCAGATCAGTCAATACTGAGGATCTTCAACATCAATAGGTGGCTTCTTATTCTTGACAAACATAATCCCTGTCAATTAGTATAACGGTCCCTGGCTGGATATGTACTTACCCTTTCTCCTCGTGTGCCTGGTGGCCCTTTTTCGCCTGGTGAGCCGGGCTCACCTCTTGTTCCAGCAGGTCCTGTACTGCCAGGAGAACCAGCGCTACCAGGAGGTCCGGGAGGCCCATCCTTGCCGGCAGGCCCTGTGTTACCAGGGGGACCTGGACTACCCTAAATGGAATTTTAAAGAGAAGAGTGTGAGCTGTGTAATCTGAAACAGTAGCACACGCTTACTGGTGTTGATCTTTCCTCATGAAAGCCAACCAAACTTGGTTTTAGGGTCCAACCTCTATGCATCTAAATCTGATCTGGTCTTATAAAGAGAATCCTTTCGCCTACCACTTTCAAACCTGATTTTTTTTCTCCCTACTGTCTGGAGATACGGTTTGCATAATACAACACCTGCACAGTTTGGATGCCCAGTGTTTGTAATGCATCCAACACAGGATACACGTTCCTTACCCAGGGCCCTGCCACAGAAATTTGAAATAGTTCCAGACCCCACTGGTTTCTTGAATCACTCATGCCAGTTACCTTTAAGGTGGTGTCTTGGACATGCGCAGAATGAAATGTCTTCCATTAAAATGCTTAGCTCAGCCAATCAATGGAAAGAATTACGTTGACTTTAATAATATCTTAAATAAAAATCCTACTTTTTCTTTTTATTCAGCAATATTCTAATTTGCATCTGTCTGTAACTATAAGACAGAAAATAAACATCTGTTTATTCAAATATAAATGTTTTCTTACTTTGTATCTCAGTTACCATACAACAAAGGATAACTTATAATTTTGATTTTTAAATGGGTAAATCCATTCTATTCTCTGTATTTCCTTAACTTTTAAAGAATCAAAAATCAGAATCTAATTTTTACTATGCAAGTTAAAAGTAGGTGTATTTTGAATATGCAAGGATATTATGAAACAGCTTTTCTTCGCACACAGATATTGTATGAAATCTTGGAATTAGCTGGTGCATCAGCATATATTTTTATAACAGGACACTGCAGACTGGTAGATTAAACTTCAGATGTAGGCCACATCATAAGAAAGAAAATTTGCCACACGAATCTTTCCAAACTCCTCTGTCCCAAGATAATTAAATCTTATGCCATTCCATTCTACAGGCAGCTAAAAAAAATTCTCAACAGTAATCTACTAAATGTAGTTTTGAAAATGCATACCAATTCAAGATCCTGAATTGAGTATTTCTCGCATCATAAAAGATCAAGAGAGAAGACAGGATGCCTGCCAACAACAGAAATACTCAAAGACCTGATCCAGGAGAAGGACTCCACTAACTCTGATGGTCTTTGGAAAGCAAACCATAATAGAAGGAGGAGTATCAAGACAGTAAGTGAATGAATTGCTATTCCATATGAAATAAGAGAGTAAGCTCTATTTTGCAGAAGTTTTTCCCTAAGTCCAAACATCATATTCAGGATGCTTTTACTTATGTTCCTGTCAAGGTACACACAGCTTAATATAGTTTAATAAAAGGGGGATAAGACAACTTACATTGCTACCAGGGGGACCAGGTGGACCACGACCACCAGGGAAACCAGCAGCACCCTATAAGAGATCAATACTTTTAGTTGTCATTTTCTGAAAATTGGAAAAACATGAACAAATTGATTTTTATACAGCAGCTGACTTTGAATTATATTTAACTGTTTTGCTTAAAACCTGAATGAAGTGAACAAGAAGTTCACAACTTTTTTTTTCTTTTTTTTTTTTTTTTTTTTTTTTTTGTTCTTCAAGGGGAGGTCCCATATGTACCCAAAGGTGAACTAATGGGCTCTGAGAAACTTGGCACAGATGGCATGTAAATCTAATAGCTGTTGAGATAAGCCGTTTTATAGCTTTGGGTCATTGTGCCAAAAGCTATTTTGGCACCTTACTTATATTAAAATCAATGTAATCCAGATTACTAAACACCTCAACTTTAATTACTCCTTCTGGAACACCTTAATTATTCTTGAACTGCAGATATAAAAGTCACTGAAGTTCTTGTTTTTCATTTACATCATGTTTGTTGTAATACATAGAGTCATTTATCAGTGACTAAAGTCAGAGATACTCACTGGGCCTCCAGGAGATCCACGTTCTCCTTTTGTTCCTTGCGGACCCGGTGGACCCTACATGGAAGGAAACAGATAAAGCAAATAATTTGATAGATAGATTAAAATTATAGGAAGTGTCATTAAGTTTCAGGCCGTTCAAATGCTTGCACCTGGGCCCAGCCACCTTAAGGCTGAGGGAGAACTGAAGAAACCTGTCTTTGCAGCAATAAGGAGCAGCAAAAACTTACTGGTGCACCAGGACCACCTTGTGGACCTGCAGCTCCAGGGGGTCCAGCCTCTCCTCTTAGACCAGGTGGGCCTCTTTCTCCTTTCCCACCAGGTTCCCCATTTTGGCCCTGTAGAAAAATTATATTGTTATTTTACGACTCAAAAAATGCAGATGATATCACTGTGATAAGAAACCCTATCCAGAAACTCTTCTGAAGGGAATTTAAAGATTAAATTAAATGTGAATGCATTTGAACTCTATTGGTCTACCAGTACAGGAAGGAAAGGATGAAGAAATTTTCCTCTATGTGTGACTGAGTACAGAAAGAGTAGCAAATGAATCAAATATATGTAGCAGGTATGTATATTAAAGGGGTTACAGCAAGCCTTTCTAAGATGTGGATGAACTTAGAGAAACTAAAAACTTGACAATCACATTCAATTGCTTTTAAGTATTTATACTTACTGGAGCTCCAGGGAAGCCAGCAGGTCCAGGAAGACCTTGTTCTCCTCGTTCACCCTGTAGAAAACATGTCAGTAGTGGAAGATGTTAGAAAGATAGGCTTCACTTTACAAGTTAGAGAACACTCCCATGAATACTGCTGAAGTTTCTTTGTCTTATCAGCCTTTCGAGGGAAAAAAAACCCCAAAACAACAGTTGCTCCTGAGCTTTAAAAACAACTGTTCAGGAATTATCTGATAATTATCTAAAGTGTGACAAACTGATCTCAGTTACACCTGTATAAACCCTAAGCACAATCTATGGTGTTCCCCAGATCCAACTGAGATTCAAATGTGCTGCTTTATCAATCTAAAATATAAATATAAGAATAAGAGTATTTTAAGAAGTTTACTTAGCTGTAAGACAAGATGGAAACAACTATTGCTCACACTCTTGCCCTGACCTGTCACTGCAGCCCTCCAACCCCTTTACACTGTTAAAAGCACTGATTTTCTGAAGTCCTTAGCACCTGTAAATCCCAAGAGTCAACAGGAGCCGTATGTGCTTAGTTTATTGAACTCAAGTCACATGTTCCTGATAGGGTAGGTGCAACACTGATGTCTATACTAGGCTAGAGGAGCCATGGTAAAGTTATATTGGAAGAGAAGTACTATCACTTACAGGACCACCACGGGAACCCACTGGACCTGGGGCACCTGCTGGACCAGTCTCCCCCTGCAAGGAACAAGAATTATTACTAAGTGTTTTTCTTCTTCCCATGAGACAGCCATCAGTGTGATGGTTTACAGTACTAAACATCATTACAGAGGATGCTTTACCTTATCTCCGGGTGGGCCGGCAGGACCAGGAGGACCGATGGGACCTACATTACCCTAAACAATTAGAAAATAACATATTTTGTATCAAAATATGACAATGTTAATTCCTTTATTTTGATCAATAGCATTTATGTTTCCGTGTAAACAGATTGCTAAAGATATTTAAATGGAAGTAAGTCTACAATGGCAGTGTGTTGTTGCACACTACACTTTGGAAAGACACTCCGAGATCACACCATTTTGCGATGTGAGAGATCTCCAATTGATTTATCCTCTTCCCCCTCCCCCCCCGCCCCCCCATCTACACCTGATAGAAAATCACCTGAATTTAATAGATCTCTTTCAATGGTAGACAATAGAAGTGATCCATTGCCCTAACTTTTCATATAGATAATTGGTCCATATTTCTTCAGTATATGTTCAACATCTCTTGACTAGCTCCCTGACTTTTTTGTTTCTTGAGAATTTAATGCGTACCTGATGGTTTGAAATACATTTTTTATATTTCCTTCAACTCATACAACCTGCATTTTTGTATTTCTCATCCCTCATTATTTTGATGTGTATACTGCTTGCCTGTACTCATTAGATATGTGTATATATTTCAAGTGTCTTTTATGTGTATATGCTATATAGATGTATAAATATATTATACATAGTAACCTGTAGAAGTATTCTGTATGAGAACACTTACTATCATGATGTATTTTTGTGCTTCATTATAACCAGCATTTTCCTCATCAGTCAGCTAAACTTAGGAAGCTAGTAACATTTTCTCTATTTTTGTAGCGGTGTTTTCCCTCCAAAACATGGTCTAATCAATTGTAATCTTCTGCTTGTAAAAAATTCTATTATATCTATCCAAGCAGCTGTAATCACAAAAACTGGTATTAAGTCTAATTCAGTTTATGAAACTAGATTTGCACTGCCACATACAATAGGATTACTACTTTACCTCTCCTAGACAGTATTTATTCACTATAAGTTTCATGATGCTGTAAGTGTAGACTATGTGAAGCTAATTGATAAACTGCTAGATGTTTAAAGACTACTCACTCTCTCTCCTCTTGCACCAGGAATACCATCAGCACCTTTGCCACCAGGTTCTCCCTAGCAAGCATAAGACATAAAAAGCATAAGCAAAAAGCAAGCATAAGACGAGCATAAGGTGGGGGGGGAAAGAAGACTTAAAACATTAATGAGGCAAGGAGGTCATACTGAGGGTATCTCAATAACCAGATTTCCTTATTGTGATCATACAAATCTAAAATTGGGGATGACATTCTGCCCAGTATTCAACATCAGATACTGAATGCTTTGATGGATCCCCTCCACCCCCAAATTGATTCAAAATGGAGTCTATGTCAAACTGTTGCCCATGGTATGAACTATTCTCATTGTTTATTAGCATCTTTAGAACTGTTTTGACATACCCCTCCCCCAAGAGATCTAAGACAGCAAAATATCTAGCATATATTAAACCAGGTGAAAAATCCTGTATTTTTTAACATACAGGACCCATGTCTCACTGCTAAATCAACAATACTGCTACACAGTCAGTACCTTTGAAATCAGGCCAAAAGTGAAGATGTGAACAAACCCAGTGCCTCGTGGGAAGCTAACACTGAGTTAGCATAAAATTGGCAGAGAGTATGTGTGGGTGTATACGGGTGTGTTACCTTATCCCCTTTTGGTCCAGGACTTCCAGAAGCTCCTCTTTCTCCTGGCATTCCCTGTAAGCCAGGCAGCCCTGTGCCTCCAGCGGCACCAGGGGGTCCAGGAGGACCCTAAAGAGGAACAAAAAATAATTAGAAAAGATTAAAAAAAAAGCATATGAACCTGAATGATGCAAATAACAGCAGGAAGCAAGCAAGTCTGTGGGTACCTTGGCACCTTCTGAGCCAGCAGGACCTGGCCCACCTCTTGTTCCAGGAGGTCCTGGAGGACCCTGTGCACCACGTTCACCTGGGATACCATTTTCACCCTGTGACAAAGAAATATGTTATCCTTTGTTGTCAGGCTCATAGTTCATTAATTCCTTAATGTAATAATGGAATCGTTGCTGTATGATTTACCTTAGGGCCTGGGAATCCGGGTCCGCCAATATCACCTTTTGGCCCCTGTTTATGAGAAAATAAACGCAAGTTATCCATGTGTTTTACTTAGCAAATCTGCATTGTGGTTGGCACCCTATTATCACTCGCCTATTATCACTTAAAGCAGACTTCTCTGCTCTGCAGAGTGCTGATAGCTATCTGAATTTGGAAAGGTAATCTAGGAAGAGCTTTTCATATATTTTTCATCTGTTTTAAAAAAAAGGAACTACTACTTACTGGTTCTCCAGGCTTTCCATTCTCTCCAGCTGGTCCTGGTCCACCAGGCAATCCCTATATGAACAGTATTATCATCTCTGTTACATAGATAAATTATGCATTTTCCTATCTAGCAAATTTTTTTGACACGAAGATGTGTACCCAACTCATTCCAATCCTTTACAAAGTAGGAGGTGCTAATTTGATAGCTACAGGTTTTATGTGGCATAATCTGCTGAGCTAGCCATCTGATTTGCAACTATGAAATACTAAGCAATAACTTTTGTCAAGTGGTTGATCTGTCTTACTTCAAAATATGATGACATACACCCTAATGAAAATGTTGAGATGCTTTTTTTTCTTTTTTTTCTTTTTGTCTGTGTGTATGTGTGTGTGTGTTAGTCTATTAAAAAGAATCAGAAACCAATAAACAATAAACACACAGCACCTGGAGGCCAGGTGGACCTGATGGTCCTGGTTCTCCTCTCTCCCCAGAAGCACCCTGGAATCAAACAAAAGAGGAAAAAAAAGAAGAAATTATCTGAAAACATTTCAACATATAAATACCTCCACAGCATCTTTAATCTATGCCTCCTTATGATCTGATGATGACATTGCACAATCCCAAAGACTAATGTATCTTGGTGTTCTGGTATTTTCTCTTTTCACTCCAACCGTTAGATGTAATTCAGCAGACACATTTATACTTGATACTGTCTGAAATGCTAACTCTGATAAATGTTAAAGGGAGCAATAATATGCTTCAATTTGAAAAGGTGGTAGATCCCCAAGAGCTCTAAAGTGACTTTTCATTTCAACTTATACCAGGTATAAGTTTCTCCTAACTCAGGTTTCTCCTAACAAAGTTTTGAGTATTAATTTATTAAAATAATGGCAAAGAAGAGCTCTTTTATTTGTCTTCATAAAAGGAGACTTCTTTATATCATTAAAAATATTTTCCTTCCCCTAAGTTCACAGTCTCTATCTGTAGATGCCAGACCACCTTGGCAATAACCGATAATTGCCTCTTACGGGACCACACTTACAGTAGGTCCAGGAGGACCCGGGAGGCCAACATCACCATTCTTGCCAGCAGGACCCTATACAAAGGCAAAATTAGGCTATGGTTATGGGTTGATATAACTTTTATAAGACTCACCAAATTATTATTAATTAATATTATGTCATTATTAAATTAATTATATTATTACACAAAATGTTAATGAAACTTACAGGTGTTCCAGGCGGTCCACCAGGGCCTCTTTCCCCATTCTTACCCGGTGCACCCTTACAAAAGACAAAAGTCACATTTAAAGTACCTGTTCTGGTCAGTATACAGTAACTTAAAGCTGCAGCACCAGCTACCTCCACTATGGAGCCACTTATTTTAACATTTGACTGATCAATCTTAAGCACAGGAGAAGTGGAGCAATCCCACTAACCTCATTGCCCTTAGGACCTGGGAAACCCATTACACCTGGTTGACCACGTGGGCCTGGAGGGCCAGGTGGACCAGAACGGCCAGATTCACCTTGACTACCCTGGGATAAGCAAAAAAGAAATGGAGACATGGTATCTGTTAGGTGAAATAAATGAATATCCATGATATTAAACAATGAGTCAAAATGACATAAGGCTAGAGAAGACATTAAAAACTTACTATGTGTTTTTCAACTAAGCTTCTGTATACTCTGTATTTTACGTCGTTTTAAATGACAAGATTTACAGAATGTTATTATAATGAGACAGCATATAAAGAGCTCTGGTAATTAAAACAACAAAAAAAGAGACAATTAATCTGACTATGGTAACAAACTGTCATGTAGATACTGTGGAATGAGGGTAAGGTCAGTAGGAGGACTAATACAAAATATTTGCACAATGTACATACCGGAGGGCCAGGTTTCCCATCACTTCCAGGGCTTCCTGGAATTCCAGGCAAACCCTACAATTGAAGAAAAAAAAGTGTTATTCTTCAGGTTAAAATATTCAGGTGTAGTATTAAGTTACAATACATAAACATAAAATATACTTAAAACTACTTGCTTGGTTTTAACCACTTTAATAAAGATTAAAACTCCTCCCATTCCCCCCCCTCCCATTAAGGGGAAAAATTGGAGAAAGCTAACAAATTCTTTTGTTACGAGTTTATCCCTTTCTCTGAGATTCATTGCATTTAATCAAGGCATCAGACATTAATCAATGTGCACAAAAATTGTATTCTTTCATTATTTGGGAAGAAAACTCATTTCAGATAGTAAAAATCAAGGAATGAAACAATTTTAACTATGTCCCCATACTTAAAAGCAACACAATTTATAACATATTTTTAGTTAACTTGTTTAAAATTTTTAAATATTATTTTTGTTATCTTTTAAATCATTCATTTTCATTTCCGATAAAATCTTGTTTAGCTCCCAGAAGCCTGCAGTAAGGCTGACTTTAGAATTTCAATGTACTTGTTACCAGCGGTTGCTAATTCTTAGTATAGCTCACAGAATGTTACTACATTCTGTATATATCACACAATAGGTTATCTCTGAAAATCTTCTTGATATGTACTATGAAAATCTGACCAACAGCTTATTTGCATTAATTACAAATAAGCAATAAATATAATAAATTAAATACTTAAGTATTCAAATACATGGATTAACGTATAATTTAATTATTTAAATTTTAAATTTAAGCTTATTTAAATAATAATTCAAATATAAAATATTTAAATACAATAACTCAAATTTCTATTAAATATAACAAACATAATACAATTTATAATAAATTATAAAATTTGCTAAAATGTACATGGACAATACAGAAAATAATCCGATGCTAAATCACACTAAACCTGTATTTCATGACAATGCATGGCATACTCCGGGGACTGGGGACCATGTTCAGCTTCATATAAGCTTCCTCATTCACTTGTCAGAGACTCTCTGTCCCTGCATAGTTATCTGTTACACTATGAACATATGTACTCTAATTAAAGGAATTAATAACATCACTGGGAAATTTTTCTAATTGGACTTCTCTGTTGTATCAGCTCAGATGAGGCATCTCTAACAGAGTTTATCCCATTTTCTTGGAGATGTCCTGTCTTACTCTCATTCCGGGAAGACCTGGGCCTCCATCTTGTCCACGCTCTCCTGCGGGTCCACTTGGGCCAGGAGCACCTGGGCTACCACGTTCACCTGCAGGACCCTAAAAAAGAGATGTTAAAATTCACAGCAAGGAAATCGGCATAATTTTGAGTCTGAAATTGTCCATTCAAATCCACACAGATTCCACAGAAGTTTGGGTTTGTTTTTTTTTTTAGAGGAAGACTCATACCTTTTCACCTGGAAGTCCATTGCTACCGGGTAAGCCACGGAAACCGGGGGAGCCCTGCCAAATAAAGGAACAAAATATGGATCATAGCCAATATGACTTAGGTAATGGCAACTGTTTTTTCTAAACTATTTACCCTTAGACATATTATTACGCAAATTAATGAAACACACACATGGAAATGACATTTCACTGTGGCAAGTCTACAGAATTATTTTCTCTTTGGATATAACCCCCCTGTTGAAATCATAGCCAGTCCTCCACTTTTTTTTAAATGAGTCCTGCATTAGTTACTTTACTCATTAATTTTCTAAATTCATATCAAAAATAAAACAACAAATTCAGTCTTCATCAATTTTTTTTTCTAATTCAATACTGAAAAGAGCTCTATTGTATTATTTCAATATTTATATGTACTACTATCTTCATTGCTTGCAAGAAATTTGAATTATAAAATTTAATTTGCTGCCCCATTTATATACTTAATATGATTAATTTGCTCACTGTGCATCTTTGGTTTCCTCATAACTTCACCAAATACTACAAACAGTTATTAAATTAGTTATAAATAGATCAGTACTATTTCCTTTGATTCAGATGTGAACAGAAATCTAAAATTTATAAGGGTGTTGCTATTTATTTTGTTGAATAAATCAATTCAAGAATTCCTTTGTGAGAATGCTCTTTGGAAAGTTATTGAATCTACTAGCTAAAAAACCATCGGCAATAAAGATATTAAAACATAGAAGACATCCTGACAATATCGTTGTTACTGACAATATCGATATTTAAGATCTATTGATGATACAGATGTTGACATAAACACATATCCTGAATGTAGAAGAATTTGCATTAATTTCACTTTCAAGAGCTGAAATTTTGTGATTGTGCATTTTTGTTAACTGAGAAGTAATTTTGAAATTTGTATAATATTTCTTTTTTTCCAGTCCCTGTGTAGTTCTCTCAGTTTAAGATTGCTTTTCAGCACAAAGCTTTCGATACAACTTCCAGGTATATAAGATCACTGCTTCTTCAATATCAAAAAAAGAAAGAAATTAATTTTTTTCAGACTGAGATAGATCCAAGCGCTGGAATTCAGATGAGGAACTAGATGATAAGAATTCTCCCGTTTTGTAACCCAGTTTCACATCTGGAATTTGCTGAGAACAGATATGGAGCCAAATTTCTCCTCAAAGTATTTTGAACACCAGATTTAGCTGTCTCCTTATTAACTCAAAATGTACCTAGAGTGCATGGTCACCTACAGCAGCTTACCCTTTCTCCAGGAGTACCAGGTACGCCATTCTGGCCGGGTTCACCATTTGCACCTCTTTTGCCTTCCTCACCAGGAGGTCCAGGAGCACCTGGTGTGCCATTTTCACCCTGGCAACAACAAAAAAAAGCCCACCAGTGAAGTTAGAAGTCTCCCAAAGAAAACCCTGTGTTTTGTATGGGTAACGATTCAGGGTTCAGACTTCCTTGGAAGAAGTCTCTGAATGCATTTTAAAATCACTTACACGCTCGCCTTTTGGGCCTGGATCTCCCTTTGCACCATTCTTACCAGGTTCTCCCTAAACAGGAGAAAATCCCATTAAAATTATGGATTGCAACTGGGCATTATTCTAGAAATAGATGTGATACCTTCCAAATTATTGACTCATTTTTATTATTTTACATTCTGCAAACAAATTAGCAGACACTAGTTGAACCAGGATGTGGAATGCGTGGCACTCCTTAAAAATCCAGTAAAGGAAAGAAGTGTTACAATCTTAAACACCACTGAGTAAAATTTTATGTCTGTTTTTGAGCTATTTGAGACATCGTTGTGACTTTTACCTGAAGTCCTTAAGTGTTTCTTTGAGAAAGAGCTATGTGTTCACTAAGAACTACGTGAACTACTATGCTCTATCAGGCAAGAGCATACTGGGGTAAATGACAATATAAGAGAAGGTACAAGTCACTAGGTGTAGCTGACTGTAGAGTCAGCCCGTGGGAACTTGAACAGGTGAAATTAGGATTTTAAAATAACAGATTTTGTCTAATGTAGCCATTTTAGACAAGCTATTTTTCTGTTTTGTGTTTCTGGTTTGATAGATAACTTAGGAAAGCAAATAAATATTATTATCATATTTATGTATAATTTTTATATATAGCATGTGTTTATATATAGTAATGTGTGAAAGAGAAATATATTATATATTTATAAAAATAATTGCCTATTGTTATT